GGCTTTGGATGCTGGGCCATGAGTATGGAAGAGGAAAGAAAACTTGAGGTATTAGACCACTACTGCTTGAGAACCATCCATTGAGTGAAGTACAGTGACTTCGGCTCAGTCTAACTCCCTCTATCCAGACAGCTTGGGAAGTCGAAGAGGGTTCAGCTCCAAAGCTGGCTCGGTTAAGTCTGTCAGAACATTGAAGCGGTTCTTGGACCTTCGATATTCGGCCTCCTGAGTTAGCAAGGAGAATGGATTGAAATGTTATGGTCTGCTGCTACAGATTGCCACGTGTGGAGAAGTACCATCCGGGGCATAATTAAGGCTGGATATATGAGGCATGATTGAAGCCTAACAGGTACAAGTCTCAGGATTCGCCCTTGTTGATTAACGCTCACCCTAGTTGACTAATGTTCACCCCTGCCCCCTAAAGAACGTTCACTAATTTTCTATATTACTCTAACCACTCTTTATCCTTTTTCAGTTCTTATACGCCAATTTTAAGATGAATAAAGACCAACTATAGGGTAATCGCTAATTCTCTCTCTTTGACTGTTTTGGCTCATATGTACTGCATCTCGCGACTCTATCTATTCCGACCACGACAATGGCTTATATACTTTTCACAGTAATCGTCGACTAGTATAATTACAGTGTTTACCACATAATACGTGCGCTAGGGGAAATACGTGAAAAAGCATGCTAAAATGACGCACGCATAATAATTAAAACACATTTAATAAGCCCTTTAAAAGCTTTAAGGTAAAAGGTTTTACACTTTTTCTTTCTTTAAACGCAACTACATTTTGATATTCAAGTTTATATGAATCATACTAACCATTGTTTCTCAGTTTCGCAGTCCGACGAGTGTAACTGACAAACTCTGAACATAAATCACCAAAGTACGTTTCAATTTGGTTGACCCGTTCGTTCACAAATTTTGACTGGGCTTCACTAAAATAACAAACAAATTCTTCAAGTTAACATATACAATTCTATCGAATAAAAAGATATTTATTTGGTTAGGAACAAGCTGACCTAACGATGGTCTGCTTTAGTAAAGATGGTTGAGGACTAAGTTCTAGAAAGAGGCGCATTTGTTGATGCCCTATTTTGAGAGGTTGTATGCTGACATTTTCTTATTTAAACGTGAATTATATATCGAAGAATGTTAAATATTTGAACTAGGTAAAATACGTTTTAGACGCTTAGCTTAAATGAAGATAACATTTTTATGAATCAATGTATTTATATTTAGTTTAGCATTTCCATCACTTTCGATCAAAGGATAATAATGGAAGATAAGATAACTATTGATCGTTGTAGAATAAAGTCCGACACAAAACTTCTTACGATGGGGCATACCGAGAGAGGAAACCCCGTTTCCTCAGTTCACGATAACAGGTAACCCGGAAGTCTATTTTATCCTATTTGCCTTTACTTTTGCGAAATTAGTTTAGAATAAAAGCACCTTAGTTCACTCTATTATAAGACACATTTTTATTGCATTAACAGGGGTATACCTTGTAAGCGGGTCAACGGATTTTAGTAAGAGTGTGGCTTTGAAGGATATTAAGGAATACGTAGTACGTTTTTATGCAGGATTTGAAACCCAATAATTTATCGTAATTCGACTTCAGAGCCGCTTTGACTTAAAAAAGATAAATTTAGACTGTAATCGATTGGCGTACTACGTGGCTTTGAACAAAGATTATTGGTGGGTTACCTTTTTGCCAACGGACAATGCTGACCACCAGCCAGTCGCAAAAGTTATTCTTTCCTGCATGGACTCCATCGACTAATAAAGTGCTCGTAAACTGAGAGAAGTGTTGATTTCAGCAGACCCACAAGACATCGGTTTATGTGTATAGACATCTTTATGATCTACAGTCCGATGAAAGATCTGAATTTTTTCCCGCATACGCAATATAGGTTTTTCGAAGGGTAACATTCGAGTGAACTCAAAGAACTGAAGACCAACTAGAGACACAATTACTCATCTAATAATAACTAGAGACTGGGCTTTAATACAAAATATGAAAGCAATAAGGTAAATTATGACCGTGCGCTACTAAAAGGCCAACCTTCTTTACATATGACTTGTAATCCACAGAAGCAGCGTAGATAAGTTGTCATTTTATATTATTTCAAGGGTTCAGCTGGATGGTGCGCTTCTGTTTTATTGACTTTCGAGATTATGATTTTCCTCACTTATTCCATGATAGTGTCTTTTAAATCTCGGTTCCAGTGCTAGCCTAAAAATTTCGCTTAGATTTTGTATGATATTCCAGTTGTCCTCCAGTCTACAGAGTAACTCCTACTTTCTAGGTCCTTACAATGACTGATGGATTGATCATTTTCGTTCTCTTTAATAATTACACCTCTTGTATTGCGCAAAATATAAGCACGCGGTACTTTAAAAATTATAAACATACGAAGACCGTACTTTACGTTATCCTTTCGCTCTACCCATAATCCAGTTTGAATAGCCCACAATGTGCTTGCGACGTGTATGCTTACACAAGCATATTGAGAAATAGCTCTAAGATATGATAATTTTCAGCATATTTTGGTAAGACGTGAAACAGATGGCGCGACCAAACACCGACCGCTTACACTCGGCAGAATGCTCATGAATATGGAAAAAATGGTGCTTAAACCCGGAACATGAGTATGCTCCCAAAACGCTATTTGGATATATGTAATTAAAGTGCAACAGATCCGGAATCTGCAGCTTCATGAACAAGTGGATTAATTTTGGTTAATGTGCTTTATTTACAATACACGTTTTTCGAAATCAACTTTTTTATCAATAAATTATGCACAAGCTTGTCCTTTTACAAAAAAATCAATTTGGAGGCTTAATGATGAGAAAAAAGGGTTTCCCGCCACGCAAACGTTTTTCCAGCGGACGGCGAACGGGTTCAAATCCCAGTCCGCAATTCCTCAGAGGGGATTTCCACCCGTCCTCCAGAAAAAAACTTTTGTGCAGCGGGGCGCCCCATTTTTCTCATTCCTAAGCCTCCAAATTGATTGTTTTTACAAGGACAAGCCTATTTATAGATTATTGATAAAAAGTTTCTTTCGAAAAATGTGTACTGTAAATATAGTTCGTTAATTAAAATTCTTCTTCCCGGGTTCCCATAAATTCCTTAGGACTTCCCCCATATTCTCCCGCCTCTTGCGCTGACAGGGTTATTTTAATAAATGCGTTTTTACAAATCAGCATAGAATAATGAAATATATCGGGATAGCACCAGTTATGCCGAATTTTCGCTAGCCCGTGCTGCTAACCAGCTTAAACTGAACCACGCAGCGATTAATACATTTAGATATAGGGCACCGATTCCGCGAATATTGTGCGAAGTTGGCTGACAACATTTAGAAATGTATTTGTACACTCTCGAAAACTAGCATAAGTTATAAGAAGGCAAAAAATAAAATAAGAACAGCATACGGAGTTCGTATCTGTGTATTTAGAAAAATATCGTAAAACGGTTGCTTTCGCATGTTGTAAAAAACCTATCGATAATGTGGAAAAAATTGTATGTTTCGTTACCAGTTCGATTGTACCGAACAAAAGAATATAAATTGATTAGCTCAATTTATTTCTGAAATTCCGCATGTAACGAAATAATGTACTATACCTTTCTTTTAGCTCAGTTGTTCGATTTAAGCTGGACCTGGAAGCCGCAGAATTCATTTTCGAATATTATATAATAGTTGCTATCAACAGACATTTAACGCAACGGCGTACTAAAACAACCATAAAAAGAGCATTTTTGCATTCGAATCCAGGTACATAATTGAAAGCCGAACTTGATTTGTTGCTTCGCACGTCATTAACTTGTTAAC